TCACAACATACCAAGAGAATGAAAATCCAAGAAGAACATGGAAACATTAAAACTATGAGGAAATTCACAAGAAAGAACACAAAAATCATTTACTCAACAAAGGAAGGCACACAGAACAAAAAAAACAGCAACACCACAAAAAAGCAAACATAATGGCAGCAATTAATCAATACCTATCAATAATTACACTGAATGTAAATGGATTCAATGTACCTGTTAAGAGACAGAGGGTGGCAGAATGGATAAGAAAACAAGATCCTTCAATATGCTGTCTGCAAGAGACACATCTCACACACACAGGCAAAAACAGATTAAAAGTCAAAGGATGGAGAAAGACCCATAGTAAAGTAAGTTAGGAACTCAGCATACTCAACTTGTTTCTGGAAGATTCCAAAGGCTTATCACCAACTCCAGACTCCAAGAGAATCTGATCAAGAAACTTTAACTCTTACATCCATGACACTTCCTATTCTTCTGTCTGTTTTGGGGTTACACCTGTTATCCTGAGGAAGGTACTTTGGGAAATGCTGGACTTGAAATTGGGAAGGATTTGAAAATTCTTGTCCAAGAGAGACAATTTTGGGGGCTTGTGTAGTGCTCTAATTTCATTGGCTAATATGTGGTTAGAGTACTAGGATAGTGCTGTAAGGATGAGCACTGGACTGCTAACCACAAGGTCAGCAGTTGAAACCCACCAGCCTCTCATTGGAAACCCTATTCAGGGTTGCTATGAGTCAGAACTCACTTGATGGCACTTAACAACAACAGTATGTGCATAAGTTGGATAGATGAATGAATAACTGATGAATGGCTTCAAGGAATGAATGAATATGTTTTTTACCTCCTTTTCCAAATCCAAAGAACATGAGGAAGAAAGGTGAAAGCGATTCAAGCCCCAAAGATTTGGGGCAGAATAATTCTTCTTGCCTTCTTGAAGACAAGTTTGGCAGGAGAACTGATGAACTCTATCCATTCATTTGTTCATTTACCCAGCAACAAGAATGTTAGCACTGGTGACCACGGCAACTAACTAAATGTGAGGGTGAAGGAGGCCAGAGATGGCTTCCTGGAAATGAGCCTGAAGGGCCCTTTGGGGACTGATCTCAGGTTCCCTTCCCCATGCCATACTTGGGGCTTCTTAGAAACCACAGGCAGACAAATCCCTGTTCTCAACAGAATCCATTTTGGCCCCTCTCCTCTGGTACCCAGACCCCTCCCACCTTTCCCCCCTGCTGTCAACAGCTTGCAAGTCTCCCCACACTCTGCAGGTATAAAATCTGCATTCTTAAAAGACCCAAATGAACAAGGCTCTAGTGGCAAAATTCTCAGCAGGATGGCAACTAAATGAGGGGGCATGTGAGAGCAAGGGGACCGTTCTCAAGCCCCCCAGATACCATTCTCAGAAGTCTCAGACCAATAACTGACCTCCAATCTCCCAGCACCATCTACAAACCAGTCCCACTGCCCCCTGTAAACTAGAGCATTACTGGATCTTTAAATGAGAAGGGAAAAAAAAATGCTTCATCATGTTCTGCTTCTCCATGCAACACCAGAAACTCCCTCCCCCTTCTTCCCACCTCCCCAGCGCCCTCTCCTTCCAGTAAAATGTGGTTAAAGGGACAGCACCCTCGTTCACCCAGCTCAGAGGGTCTGCTTAGCGTTAGGGCAGGGATGAAGAGGGAGGCAAAGGGCAAAAGACAATGGGATCAGTGGTGGTATTTCCAGTCTGTTCCCGTCTTGGTCCTGGGGATCCCACAACAGGAAAATCTAGATTGAGAGAACTGCTTGGGGGAGAGTCAGATCTGAAGAGGGGTCTACACTGGCCCCAAAGGGGTCTCAAGGCTACAGCATCACCATGGGTCCTTTCGATTCCCAGTGGAGAGCATGTGTGGGCTGTTCACAAGGGTAGGACTGGATGCATCACTGAAAGCAAGGGGCAGATTTGGGTACCCACCTTTTCACAGAGCCAGCTGGAGCTGGCCCCTAAAGTGGAAGTTGCAGTTAACCCCTTCCTCCCCAACAAGGGGCAGGCACTGCAGCAATGTCCGCACTCTCACACCATTGAACTTGAGCCCAAGCCAGAAAGTCAGCTCCCCCACTAAATCCTGGAGGCAGAACCCATTAGGGTGGCCTGAGCTGAAGGACTCTGAAATCCCAAAAACATCCCACCACTTATGGGGGTGGGGCAGCAAGAAGCAATGCCTATCTAGGCACACACTTGAAGCTGAGCAGAAGAGAAGGGAGATAAATTCCTGGTTGTGGGAAAGCAGCTGCCTGCTCCACATGTTAGTTATCTGGGTTCCCCCTGCACCTGACCACTTTAACCTGACACCCCCAAATTTTCCCTTGAGGGACAAGGGAAGCTGCAGTCTGTCCCTCAGGGCAAGAACCCTTTATTGTACAGTTGGAAAAACTGGAGTATGTGTGTGTGTGTGAGAGAGACAACATGTTCAAGGTCATTCAGCCCAGCAAACTGCAAATCCTGTGTGCCCAGCACCTCCCCCCACCCCCGCACTGCTCAGCAAGGACCTTCCAGGCTCATGTCTCCCAACTTCCTGTCGAGTCACCAGCAGCATCCCACTTTGGGTTCTCTGCCCTTCACTTTCAGACCAGAGTCCCCTGCCTTTTCAGAAGCCCCTGATATCCTTCATTGTTCCTTGTTGGGACAAGCTGAAGCGTTTCTTTACCCCCTCTCTTGGGCAACCCTGTGCGGGGGAGGGAGATCCCCTCTTCATCATCTGCAGTGTCATCCACACCCCCATTCAGGATGGCCTTGTCGCCTGTGCTACCTAACCCCTGGGACCCTCCTCTATTCCGGAGTCCGCTGATGCTTCTCATGTGTTCTCCTTGTGTGGTTCTCTAATAATTAGGGGTATCCTGTACCTCTATCCAGGGGTCCCCATCTCCACCCTCTGTACCATCCACCATTCCGCTAACAGGGTTGCCTTGCTCCCTCCCCAATTCCAGGCGGGCTGCAGAGTGTCTTCACTGTCTGTCCTGGGGGTCCTCTAACTATTAGGAAAACCTTGTATTCCTCTCAGGCATGGGTCCCCTTCTCCCACTGACTGTAGTCTCCTCTTGTTCACACCGAGAGTTCTCTTGCTTTTATTCTCATACTAGTTACTTTGGCTTCTCCCCACTTCAGGTCCCCTCCCCTATCCCGGCACAGCTGCAGGTTCTGCAAACCCGCATCCATCGGAGATCTGCACAGGTTAACTCCAGCAGTCTTTTGTCCCCAGACCCGACCTCGCAAAGGGGGCTCCTCTGTCACTCACTCAGTCCCCGTTCCTTCTGGGGTCCCGTGCCCTGCCCCTCTCTCTGCGGGGGCCGCAGGCCCAGGACACCTGGGAGGAGGCGGAGGAGAGGGTAGCGCCCGCCCCCCTCCTCCCTCCACCCCCTACACTGCCGAGGGGCAGGGCTGAGCGGGGCCCGGGTGGCTATAAAAGGGCTGGTGTCCGGGTGCTGCCGCAGTGCGGTCCGCCCAGCCCCGCTCCCTCGCCCGCCTGATCTCAGTCCGCGGCCCGCACCTGCTCCAGGTCATGATGAGCTTCGGTGGCGCAGATGCGCTGCTGAGCGCCCCATTCGCTACGCTGCCGGGCGCTGGCTGGTTCTACGCCCCGGGTCGCAAGGGTGGCGCGCGCTCGGCGGCCGGCTCGTCCAGCGGCTTCCACTCGTGGACCAGGACAACAGCCAGCTCCGCGTCGGTTTCTCCGAGCCGCTTCCGCGCTGCCGCCGCCGCTTCAAGCACGGATTCTCTGGATACTCTGAGCAACGGGCCAGAGGGCTGCGTTGTGGCAGCAGTGGCGGCGCGCAGCGAGAAGGAGCAGCTGCAGGTGCTAAATGACCGCTTCGCCGGCTACATCGACAAGGTGAGGCAGCTCGAGGCTCACAACCGCAATCTGGAGGGCGAGGCGGCGGCGCTGCGGCAGCAGCAGGCGGGCCGCGCAGCCATGGGCGAGCTTTACGAGCGTGAGGTGCGCGAGATGCGCGGCGCCGTGCTGCGCCTGGGCGCTGCACGCGGCCAGCTGCGGCTGGAGCAGGAACACCTGCTGGAGGACATCGCGCACGTGCGCCAGCGGCTGGACGACGAGGCCCGGCAGCGCGAGGAGGCCGAGGCGGCGGCGCGCGCACTAGCTCGCTTCGCTCAGGAGGCTGAGGCGGCGCGGGTCGAATTGCAGAAGAAGGCGCAGGCACTGCAAGAAGAATGTGGCTACCTGCGGCGTCACCATCAAGAGGAGGTGGGCGAGCTGCTTGGCCAGATCCAGGGCTGTGGCGCCGCGCAGGTGCAGGCGCAGGCCGAGGCGCGCGACGCTCTCAAGTGCGATGTGACATCCGCGCTTCGCGAAATTCGGGCGCAACTGGAGGGCCACGCAGTGCACAGCACGCTGCAGTCGGAGGAGTGGTTCAGAGGTGCGCCGGCGCTGGGAGAGGGGTTTGGGCGGGTGTGGGGAGCGGAGGCGAGCTACTTAACTTCGTTTGCGAAGTGCATACTCCTTACTTTAACAGTGGGTTTCGCTATGGGTCTGGAGTTGACATCCCCCAAACTCTGGGCTCTCTTTTAGCAGTGCTCCTTCATGGTCCTTACATCAGTCCTTCAACTCTGGCACTCAACGCTGTCAAGATCGCCCCTGCAGCTCCAAAGCGGTCTCATCTTCTGGTCCACAGGCACAGGGGACTCCTCCACCCTTCAAAGTCATTTGCTTTCCCTGTCCAACGCTGTCCATCTCCTTTCCTGTATATGGCAGGCGACCCCATTCTCCTAACTCCCTACAAAGACTATCCCAATGCTCCACATTCTGCCCACCCTCTAGCTGGGTTTAGGGGGCTGCTCATGGCTGTCCTTTAATATTCACTCTCCCCTTCAGAGAAGCTGGCAGCGTCCCAAGCTCGCCTTCCCCCAGCCCCCTCACCACGCTTAGTTTATGAGGGTGCAGCTGCACCGGAGGTTTTCCTAGCAGTTGACCAACGCCCGCCCTCTAGCCTTTATTTTTTTAGGGGTTAAAGGGGGCAGGGGAGTGAACCAACTGGGCTTCTTCATGGAAGTCCATGGTCACTCTGAAAGCTGGATAAAACTTTGTGAAACTGTCTGGAAGTAGGATGCAGAGGTGACAACAAATTTCAAATGGTTCTGTGACCCAAAATGCACCTCCCTCAGCTGGCTGGTGTCTAATAATTTGCAGACATTAGCAGGGGGAGCCTGGAAAGCTGGGTTTGAACAGGGCCTGTTTCTCTTCTCAGCTCTCTCCCATCTATACAATATGGTTCCTCCCAGTAAACCTCTTCTCTCCTGGGTTAACTCCTGGCCACCAGGCTGACCCCTGTCCTACCCACCAAGACTCAGGCCCTTGACCACTACACAATTAATGACTCAGGGTATACACTTCAGGGATATGTAGAGTTTCGCTGGCCCTGAGCCTCTTTTGGAGACTTAACTGGCAGTGAATGGGGGGGGGGTGGCTTTGGGGGGCTGTACTGTAGGATGAAACAAATTATCTGGGCACCCAGACTTTGCAGTGACCTTGGTCCCTGCAGAGAGAAATCTGAAGGGCAAGGATTGTGGCCCTGGTGGCCTTATCACTTTAGATATCTCATGTCTACAGCGATCACAAATTCATTGATTTGTTCAGCCACAAGCCTCAAATTCAAAGCCTGGCGGATCAGGTATCACAGCTGAACCCAGACACCACCTGCCCTTGCTGGGGAACTGGACCAGGTAGAATCAGGACATCCTCTGCCCTGCAGTGCTGATGGATCCTGAACTGGGGGAGGTAGAGTCTTAGCTTGAAAGCCAGCCAGCCTGATTTAAATACTGCTCTGCTACTAACTAACTGAGTAGTCTTGGGCAGTAGTCACTTGTCTGTCCAGTAGGGTGTGCTGAATTAAGCTTACAGGCTATTGCTTGGACATCATCTTTCATATCTGAGCACTGAAACTCAAAGCCAGGTGTGTCTGACCTTGTGCCTTTCCCTATTCCTCCCCACCCCCATCCCCACCCAGTGAGGCTGGACCGACTGTCAGAGGCAGCCAAGGTGAACACAGATGCCATGCGCTCAGCACAGGAGGAAATCATTGAGTACCGGCGTCAGCTGCAGTCCAGGACCACAGAGCTGGAGGCCCTCAAAGGTACCAAGGACTCATTGGAGAGGCAGCGCTCTGAACTGGAAGACCGGCATCAGGCTGACATTGCTTCCTACCAGGTGAGTATGGACAGGGCAGGCAGCCAAACTGCTTCAGCTGTCACTAAGCAGGAATGTGGTGGTTAAGACCATGGGCCTTGGGTTTGCAATTAACCAGAATAATGGTACTTTCTAGCTGTGTGATCCCAGGAAAGTTATTTACCTCTCTGAGTCAGTTTTCTTCTCTGCATTGGGGGAAGGGGGAAGGGAGGGATGGGGACTCAACAATAATGCTTGATTTGCACAACTATGAGGATGAAATGAGATACCTAACATGTAAATAAGATAAAGAATGAAAATGCTTAGCTCTGTCTTGATAACAGTAAGCTCTCAGTAAATGGTAACCATGGCAACAGCTGTGTGTCTGCTTAGCTTGAGGAAGGCCCTGGTTGAATCTCCCATTAAAGTCCTGGTGTGGCACTGTAGAATAAGCACTGGACTCCTAACTGGAAGATTGATGGTTCAAGCCCTCCAGCCATTCCTCGGAAACCCTATATTCCAAGCGTAGTGGTTACGAATCGGGCTGCGAACCTTAAGGTCAGCGGTTTGAAACTACCAGCCGCTCCGCGGGAGAAAGATGAGGCTTTCTACTCCCGTAAAGATTTATACCCTTGGAAACCCTGTACAGGGTCGCTATGGGTCGGAACCGACTCGACGGCACTTAACAACAACAACAACATGAGTTGGAATCAACTCAGCTTAGCAACAACAACAGTAGGATTGGTGGGGCAGGGAGAAGAGGTGGAGAGGAGAAGCTTTAAGTTGTGTTTAATATACTTTTTAAATATAGGTTTAAAATTTTTTTTTTCTTATTGTGGTTTGGGAGAATGTTTACATAGCATTTTAGTTTTTGTTTCAACGATGTGAACACATTTTGTTTCATTACAGAAGTTGTTGTCTCCTCAGTAGAGCAGCACTTGTCCCACTGTCTGCTTTCTTGACCATTCCTGCCCTCGGAACTTTGTTTCAGGGCCAGTGCTTCCCTTTTTGGTCTCTGAGGAGAACGGTGCTCACAAGTATTATTTTGTTCATTTTCTAGGCCTGTCACATGACTGCCAGGTGATTCCAGGGGTTGGCTTCAGGTCCAGGTTTGAAGGGTGTCTAATGACCCCAGTTCCAGAGGTTTCACTAGTCTCTATTAGACCAGTCAGTCACTCTGGTCTTCCTTATAATTTTGAATTTTGAGTTTAATGTACTTTTGCGTGTTGTCACAGTCATCAACAATAGATGTTTGCTGATCCCTTCTTATGTGGCAGACACTTTGGGGCAGTGAGGTAAAAACAGGGAGCAAAGGAGGACAAGTTCCTGCTCCCCAAGAGCTTGAATTTGTTACTGAACATTTAAGAGATCTATATATATATATATATATTTATTTTTTAAATGAACCTGTCATCCCACCAACCAAGGAGATAACTGCTGTTGCATCAGCTGCATTTCATTCCAGACCTTCCCCCAGGCTGAGATTATATATGAGGGGGCTTTGAAAAGTTCATGGTAAAGACAATGTTCTATACATCCTACTTTGGTGAGTAGAAACTTGGCTCTTAAAAACTCATAAGCAGCCTTCTAAGGAATAACTATTGGTCTTTCCTGTCTGGAGGAAAGAAAAGTAATGAAAACTGTCCAATGGACTAATGAACCACATAGACATCAGTCTCCACAACCTGAGACCAGAAGAACTAGATTGTGCGCAACTACCACGGCTCTGAAATGAAGTGCATTAGAAGATCTTGGACAGAGTGGGAGAAAACGTGGAACAAAACTCAAAATCATAAAAAATTAAAAAATAAAAGACCAGATTTACTGGTTAGATAGAGACTGGTAGAACCCCAAGACTATGGCCCTTGGTTATCCCCTTGGTTCAGTTTTCAGCCAAGCAGTTGATTAGGTATATGAAGGAGGCAAAAACACTAATGAAGTATACACACCGTAGAATGATCAACCATTCGAGATCAAAAGGACAATATTTACCTAAGGACAAAATTCAGAAGGGTTGGGAAAGGAGGAGGAATGGAAACAAGGACCACAGGGAGGAAGTCGGATAAGTAATGGATAAGTAATTACATGGAGCGGATTGCAATCACTGAGTCGCATTCAAGTGTACAGTTTGTTGAATGCAAAACTGATGACTTTCTCTATAAACTTTCACTCACTTCACAATTTAAAAGTTGGAAAAGAAAAAGTGGTGAAATGGAATTGAAAAATAATGGAATTTTCCTGTGAATTTTATTTTTAACAAATCATATACTTTGTTTCATTACAATGATTGCAATCCCCTCCATGTACCAAAGTTAACAGTATTTGTCAATGTTCACTTTAATTTTTACATTCCTCCCTGTTTCTCCCATTATAGTCATCTTTCCTTTGCCGACCTCCCTCTTGTTGCATATTGCCTGCCCCATCACCCATGTTAATATGCGGCTGCCCTCTAGTCCATGAATAATTACCCCGCCCACTACCTCCACCACTATCCATCATAGAATGTTTCTTTTAACAAGAAAACCTTTTCTTAAAATTTTCAGCAGTGGTCTCATGTAATATATGTCCTACTGTGTTTGGCTAATTTTACTCAGCATAATGTCCTCTAAGTTCATTCATATTATGAGGTGCTTTACAGATTTATCATTATTTATCAATCATCCCACAGTATTCCATCATCTCACAAACTTTGTAAAGACCCCCTCATACATGAGGACTTTCATTTCAGGTGAGTTCTCGATCCAGAAATGAGAACTCTTGAGTTTTTGATAGCCCAGTGGTACTGGCATTACTTGAATTAACTCACAAAATCCTCTAAACAACTCCATGATATGGATATTATATTTCCCCAGGAAACGTACACTCAGCTAAGGGACAGTTGGCTTTGGGTTTGCCCTGCCAATGCCATTTACCATGGTGGTGTGAGGCAGGCTCTGGCTGATGTGTGATGTGTGTAACTCCTCCTCCCCAGGATGCCATTCAGCAGCTGGACTCTGATTTGAGGAACACCAAGTGGGAGATGGCAGCCCAGCTCCGAGAGTACCAGGACCTGCTCAATGTCAAGATGGCTCTGGATATTGAGATTGCTGCTTACAGGTGAGGTGAACCAGAAAACTTCACAATGGTGGAGCGCATCCCCTGAGCTCTTAAAAGGAACTAAATCTTGAATTTCAAGCCCCCTTCCTGTCTTAGAGACAAAAATGTTGAGGGTGACTTATTTTCACTTTGACAGTGACTTAGAGGGTTAAAACCACCCACTGCCTCCCCAAATTCAGTCAGCCAGAGGGTCTTTTTGGAAGGGAAAGAGGTACTTGATTTGTTAGGGTTCTTTAGAGCTCCTTAGTATCTTAGCTCTCTGAGCATTTCTTTCCTGGGGAAATAAAAGTACTCACGTCCTGAGGTGATGGGGAGGATTCTGTGAGCTAATTCAGGTAGAAGAAAGGCATGATCCATGAACCAGCAACATCAGCATCATCCATGAGTTTGTTAGAAAGCAGAATCTTTTCAAACCTATTGAATCAGAAATCTATGTTTGAACAAGATTCCTGGCATTTGCAAAGTACTCGTCTCTGGGGTAATGTCTATACTTCCTGTCAGACAGGCACTCTGCTCAGTCCCTTTTATTCATTACCACATTTAAATAACCTTATGAGGTAGGTTTTTATGACCTTCTTTCAGCAGTGACGAATTTGAGGCTAAAAGAGATTGAGTGCCATGACCAAGGTCTCCTATGAGTGAGTAACAACGTCGAAAATAGACACCGCTACTACCATCCTAGGCCCAACATCCAAAGGGTAGACTAGATGATGACAGAAGACCCTTGAAATCAAATGAGAGCATTCTAAGACCCCTTAAGTCCAAATTTATAAATGTGGAATTGTTTGCTTAGGCTCCCGGCATTCTCTTGAATCACATTGTAATTGAGGAATAAGAAAATCACTTTTGCTAATGTAGGAGCTCTCTCCTGAAGGCTGTTTTTCTGGAGGAAACAAAGGTTATATTATTTCATGAGTTGTAACCTTGGCTGCATTAAATAAGAGCAAACCCATTGGGGTACAGATTCTAGGTGGTCAGTCAAATTATTTGTTAAGTGACATCCCAAAGTACTCACCATCCACATTCATTCCTCAGCCAATATCCATATCATTGGATACCATAGACCTTCATAACAGAAAGACTCCAAACTGATGAATCTGCAATGAGTTAATAGTAATCACTTTCATTATCCTTTCTTCAGGAAACTCCTAGAAGGAGAAGAGTGTCGGATTGGCTTTGGCCCCAGTCCTTTCGCCCTTCCTGAAGGACTCCCCAGAGTTCCCTCCATATCTGCCCACATAAAGGTCAAAAGTGAAGAGAAAATCAAGGTGGTAGAGAAGTCAGAGAAGGAAACTGTGATTCTAGAGGAACAGACAGAGGAGATCCAAGTGACTGAGGAAGTGGCTGAAGAAGAAGAAAAGGGGGGCAAAGAGGAGGAAGGAAAGGAAGAAGAAGAGGAGGAAGCAGTAGGGGAAGAAGAAGAAGAAGCAAAATCTCCTCCAGCAGAAGAATCTGTATCCCCAGAGAAGGTCAAGTCCCCTGCAAAAGAAGAAACAAAATCACCGGCTGAGGACAAATCCCCACAAAAGGAAGAAGCCAGGTCACCAGCTGAGCTGAAGTCCCCAGAAAATGGCAAGTCCCCTGTGAAGGAAGAAGCAGCATCTCCAGCTGAGGTCAAGTCCCCTGAGAAGGTCAAGTCCCCTGTGAAGGAAGAGATCAAGTCTCCAGCTGAGATCATGTCCCCTGAGAAGGTCAAGTCCCCTGTGAAGGAGGAGGTCAAATCTCCAGCTGAGGTCAAGTCCCCTGAGAAGATCAAGTCCCCTGTGAAGGAAGAGATCAAGTCTCCAGCTGAGATCATGTCCCCTGAGAAGGTCAAGTCCCCTG